GGTGGTACTAATTAAACTAATGCACATCCAGCTTAATTTCTAGTAATCCTACACTGAAAATAAAGGTGTTAGTTTTTCAAGCTGGTCCATATTAAGTCATGCGTGTAAGAAAAGATTAAAATGAGCAGTATCCTGGCTAATGTTAGTCTGTCAGTCATCATCATAATAAAGGGTGGGTTTATGTTGGGTCATCTGTATAACACATCAAATAACATACTTGTTGTCACTTTTGCCTTTTCCATTCTCCTTACATTGTATTGTATTGTATTAATATATTATATTATGTCAACTTACTGTCTTGTTGTCTCCTCGGCTTTCACCATTCTCATAGCTGCCTTTTCCATCTGCTTAGCTTTAAACTCCTTAGCCCAGATCATGGTGTCAGGATTGGGCTCTCGATTATAAATAGCTTTCTTCCTGGATATATGCCCCCTGTATGCTCTGTAATAAAGAAAACTAGCATTACTACATGTGGACTGCTGATATATTAAGAAAACCTCTATACATACATGCTTCTAAAGACTTTTTTTGTACTAAAATTCTCATGGAAAATTTTACAGACAGACATTTATTTTGTAAAAGTCAAAATTTCACCTTTGTATTTCTATGGCAGCTTTCCTTTCATCCTCTTTTCTTTCTCTCTCCTCTTTCATCAGGTATTTATAGCTCTTCCTCACCACATAGCCTCGGAAAATTCTGCAGTAAAAACAATGTCCAATGGAGATGAATTTCTCAGTAAAAATTGTTACATAAATTAGAAATAAAGAAGATTCTGTTTCATGCTGCTACATGAGAAATGCAATCATGTAAAAATCTGTGACAGTACAGCAAGTTATCTATAGATTATATTTTAATTTAAATACTTGAATCAAATTTTCAAAAATCATGTAGAAAATATCAGCATGCATTATTCACCTTATGCTGAGAATATCTTATAAAATGAAAACAGAATTATATCAAAGAACTTTTGATTAAAAAAAAAAAGTTTCCAGATCACTGACCTCTGGATGTCTACAGCAGCATTGGCTTCCTGCTGTCTCTTGACTGCTTCTTCCAATGCATCCTGAAAGAAAGTATTTAAACATGTACAATATGTGTAGTGCAGCAGTATCTGGTCTAAAACATTTTAAAGAAAATTATAGTAACAGTTAGACATTTTACAATTAGTGAGGAGCATAGTAAACATATACTTGAAATCATGAACCTTAAAATTAAAAATGCAGTTGAATTTCCCATGGACTTACAGGATCAGTTGGTTGAAAATGCTCTGGAATTGGGCGTCCTGCTTTGGAGGGTTCCCTTTCCCCAGTGTTTGACACAAAAACTGCGTCATCCTCTTTATCATCCTTGTCCTCTTGTGGTTCCTCAGTATCCCCTGTGTCCCCTGTTTTATGTCTAGGACTTGTGACAATGGTGACACTTATTGGTGGACCAACAGGGGTGTCATTACTTGTGACTGAATTTGATGTCATCTTCTCTGTGACTGTGTCAGAATTGGAGATGTCCGCTGCATATTCGGAATCTAAAATGTATGCAGAAAATCATGGGATTAAGTTTCCCTAGATTTGTCTTTTTCTTCCCTTCTTTCTTTCTTTTTTCTTTCTTTCTTTCTATTTTTTGTTTGTTTTTTGTTTTTTGAAAGTAACTAGTACACATAAATCTGAGATCTTGTGAAAAGGGGTGTCTCTTTTATGTTAAAAAAATCCTCGTTAGGCTCTAAATGGTCNAAAAAAAAAAGTTTCCAGATCACTGACCTCTGGATGTCTACAGCAGCATTGGCTTCCTGCTGTCTCTTGACTGCTTCTTCCAATGCATCCTGAAAGAAAGTATTTAAACATGTACAATATGTGTAGTGCAGCAGTATCTGGTCTAAAACATTTTAAAGAAAATTATAGTAACAGTTAGACATTTTACAATTAGTGAGGAGCATAGTAAACATATACTTGAAATCATGAACCTTAAAATTAAAAATGCAGTTGAATTTCCCATGGACTTACAGGATCAGTTGGTTGAAAATGCTCTGGAATTGGGCGTCCTGCTTTGGAGGGTTCCCTTTCCCCAGTGTTTGACACAAAAACTGCGTCATCCTCTTTATCATCCTTGTCCTCTTGTGGTTCCTCAGTATCCCCTGTGTCCCCTGTTTTATGTCTAGGACTTGTGACAATGGTGACACTTATTGGTGGACCAACAGGGGTGTCATTACTTGTGACTGAATTTGATGTCATCTTCTCTGTGACTGTGTCAGAATTGGAGATGTCCGCTGCATATTCGGAATCTAAAATGTATGCAGAAAATCATGGGATTAAGTTTCCCTAGATTTGTCTTTTTCTTCCCTTCTTTCTTTCTTTTTTCTTTCTTTCTTTCTATTTTTTGTTTGTTTTTTGTTTTTTGAAAGTAACTAGTACACATAAATCTGAGATCTTGTGAAAAGGGGTGTCTCTTTTATGTTAAAAAAATCCTCGTTAGGCTCTAAATGGTCTCAGATACAAATATGCCTCCTGACAGTTAACTCTTTAGAGACAGATCTTGTTCATGTAGTACTAAAGACGTGGAAATCTTCACAAGCATGTAATTGATGAATTTCTACCCCAATATGATATTACAGAATTAAATACATAATTCACAGAACTGACCTTTAACACTGAGCTGGTCAGATGATCCAAAGATGTCCAGTTCCTTTCTAATTCCTTCAGAGGTTGATGAGCTTGAAATGCTGGGGCTTCCTTTACTATTTGTATAACCATCATAACCTGGTAGATCTGGGTCTCTCTGAGGCATCTCTGGCTGAGACTTGCTATCTGCTAAAATGAACGGATTTTATGTACAAGAAGTATTTAAAGGTATTATATTTATAATTTGTATGATAATAATATACATTTTAAAAAAATATAATAAAATACTTGTTTTAACAAAGATGACTTTCTGCCATTATTTTGTGGCATGGTTTCACCAAGGAATAATTTTTATAAACCGGTTGACAACAAGATTCCTTAATATATTACTTTAAAATTGCAACTGGTTGGGAGCAAAGGGAATACATGCATTTCTTGGATGCACTTATAACATGTAGCAGATGCATAATTCGACCAAAACATCATGTCTTACCTTTATACATATCTTTATGTGTAATGTATTGGACATAGTATCTTGAATCAATCTTATATTGGTAAAATTGATCAATTTTTCAAATTTAGTTTGGTCACATGGTACAGTGTCTTCATCATTTGGCAAAACATTGGCTAGTACCTAGCTTGAGTCTAGATTGATATTTAACAGTGACTGTCCTTACCATCATCCAATGCAATTTGATTGGCCTGACACACTTCTTCGAACTCATCAAACAGATCATAAGCGTCTTTCAGAGGTACTGGTGTTGGCTGACTTGATGAAGTTCTGGAGTTTAGTCTCAGAACAGTCAATGCTGACTGGAGTTCCTGGGGGTTGCTTGCATGACCCAAATTTGCTTGAGACCTTTCTGTGTCTGCTTGACGTAAATTGATGACTGAAAAACAAAGATATTAAATAATTTGTTTGCAAAGATTCTTTATCATTTTGTCTTTATGGCAGAGATTGTGCAGTGGAGGAATACTTTTTGTTGCTTGTTCACTGCAATTCTTTACAATTAATATTCTACATCATTCTGATAAATGTATAATATGTAATCAATTCAACCAATAAATTCTTATAACACAAGTGTTGTATTTGTGATAAACAAAAGTTTAAATTTGAAAGAAGAGAAAATCATAAAGTTGCAACAAATTCAAATTCAAAAATTTCGTAAGCTGAAATGAGACAGATAACTTCAACAGGTTGGAATAGAATATTAAGCTCTCATGAGGTGGTCACAATTTCAAAATCAGAAATCAATTTCATTGATAATGAAAAATGATATCAATGGCCGATCATAAAGAGATCATCAAAATAATAGTCTCTTGAGAAAAACAGCACATGAGCAGTACACAAGAGCATGGCCATACATCAAAACCACAACAGAACAAAATAATAAACAGGAGATTTCACAAAAGTTTTAAATCAAGAAAACGAAGGTCACGAGATGAATAAAGACTTACTCTTCTTAGCAGTGTTCAACAGGTCTAGGGATAATTAGAAACATGATTGTGAAGAAATTGGCTTAAACTTGTTTTGAAACATTGAATATGTGATAAATATGATAAATGATTTTAAAATAGATTAATGCATTATTCAAATACTTAAAATGACTGGGATTAAGACAATAATTATTAATCTATACACAAATATAAGTAATTAATCTACAAACATTAATTCACACACAAACTAGTAAAACTGCAATCCCAAAAACAACATAAAAACATACTTTTCTCCATGAACCTTCGGGGACTCTTCAATGTTCTGGCATGATGCTCCAGCTCAGCTAGATAGGAGCTACTCCTGCTTGCTCCTCGGGGGGTCCTGCCACCCAGGGGGTGATTTTGGGGGCTGGGAATGGAGGGAGGGGTTCTGGTAGGGGCTGATAACAACCTCTTTTTCTTCTGTTGCTGCATGTGCTGAAGATTCTGTAGTCTTTGGAATTGAGCACCGTGAATACGGAGTAAATTTTCCAGTTCCTCCGCCTTGGCGTCAATTCCCCTGGTTTTGGGTTTACTCGGTGGAGCCGTATGAGGTCGACAATCCCCGCAATAGTTCTCGGGTTTCTGTATTGCAGTTAACCAGTGTTCTCCATGGATCAGTTTCTCTGGGTCTGGCAAGTTGCCCTTCATGTATTCCTCAAAGTTGATATTTTCAAAATCCACGTCTGGGGCAAATGACCATGGATTGGAGATGGTCAGGTGGTATTTAGATTCTAGTCTTTGCTTGGCGTTGATGAGGGATTCATTTTCTTCCTGTGGAAAAGAAAAAAATGTTTTAGTATCTTGTGAGTGTGTCTGTATATAACTTTTAATTACCATTAAGCTGAATTTTCAACATATATATATATATATATATATATCTGAAAAAGCTTAGAAATAAAATTCTTTTAAAAAGTCAAAGAAGGTATAAACATTTAGAGAAAAAAATATCACCTGCATTTCTGACAGTCATCTAACATTACTGGAATACTTTACATAAAGTATGCCAACAACTGCTCTGATTTTAACTGCTGATTGGAAAAATTAAAATGTATCAGTAACTGAGTATTTAACACAGGGGACGAAATTCTTTTCTGCCATGGATCACAATAATACCTTAGTTTCCTTAGTTTCAAGTCCTTCTTCTTTGTCAGCTTTGTCTTCCTTTTTCTCTTCCTCATTCACCTCCTCCCTCTCCCCTGTGATACTGGGAGGCTTGCCCAGAGATGAAATATCACTGGCACTGTCCATGTGGTCAAAGGGGTCATTCTGGTCACCCTCGTCCTCCTCTAGGTGGTCAGGTTGGTCACTTTGGTCTTCATTAATGAGTTCTTGGTCATCTCCTTTATAACCATCCTGCAAATGTTGATTTCAGAATTATTGGTCTTGGTCATCATTTTGCAACCATCTTACAAGCAATGATATGTGCGACATTGAATAGAACATGGGTGAATGATAGTTCACTCTGCACTTATAATACTCATGTTTATCATTCACCGTGTATGCATGATTATCAAACATACAACCCAAAATAATTTTTTTACCAAAAGATAAAATTAAACAATACTTGTTATATTGAACTAAATAATGCCAGATTTACTTCATCTCTCCTTCAGGTACCACATTTTTTTCTTTTTCTCTTTACCTGTAACCGATTAATAAGATCCATATCTAAACTCTTCAGCATGGTATCAGGCCTGTCACCATCTCCCATGTTGGAGTCACTGCCCTTGTAGCCATAGTATTTCTGAGATACATGTGCACTGGAGATGCTGGGGGAGTCCCCCGCAGCAGAGTGCAGGGGAACGGGAAGATTGACGTCGCGGGGTGTGGTGACCATGCTGCGGGTGGTGACACATAAAATAAAATAAATTTTGAAGTGCACTTACATAGATGGAGGTTAAGGGGATAAAGAGATCTTGGGGAATCACAACTTAAAATTTCGTGATTTCAAAGCTGGATATGTATTTCAAAATAAAAATAGTTCTTACATTTTGTTGATCAAAAGCATATTAAACTAATTAATTTGTGTCTAACTTGGAGACATGTAACATGCTAAGAATAATGTGCAGAATAAAACAATAGTCAGGAGAAAAGCTGCAAACAGAAATATGCTAAAATATGTTTAAAATGATAATAAGTAAATTTGTTCTACAACTGTTTAACTCAATAACTGTGGGCAAGAGCAAATGAATTTCAATATTGGTGGTTTTGAACAACACAAAAATAAAATGACAAGTAATAATAAATTTCCTCACCTTTCCATGTGACCATCTTTCTTTGGGGGTACTAAAATAGAACAAAGGCATTTTTAAATGATTGTTAATTAAAATAAACTTGCTTTGGATTTCATTTTCTCATCTCTTGACATATGAAAAATAAATTTAAAAAAATTCAAAATAAATAAATGAACATCAGTAGTACAATAAATATAAATAAGTACTTACTTAGGATTGATCTGGGGGCCACAAGAGAGAGGAATTCCATGTCTTTAGAACCTGGAGGAGGATAGTCTGCTCTGAATGAAGGAGTACTGCTGCCACCTTCTGGAGAGAACAGGGTCACTTTGTGATGAACCTGGTGGTAGAGAAAAAAAAAAAACACTCATAGTTGTTGACCTATAGGAGTGGTTACATTCTAAAATTAATTCTTTGCAATTCAATTTTGTACTGTCAAGTTAAAATTTCCATCAGATTAATAAGCATGATTTTAAGATGGCACATTCCTGGCAGTTTATAAGATTCATTTTTAATTTACAAAATAAAATATACTTTGTGAGGTATTTGGCATTTAAGGATAGACTGGTCAAAAATATTATTTATAAAAGGGGAAATTTGACAAGTTAATGTATTCCGCAAGTAAAATTGTGGAAAGTAATTCATTTTAGCGTTTTCAAAATGATAACTACATGAGGATAGTTATTGTGCCAATGATGCCAAACACTGAGTATATTTGGAAGTAAGCAATCAGCACTTTTATGTAAATAGGCAGAATACAGCCCTCTTAAGTAAAATAAACACATAAAATACCTGTTTGACTTTGGACAGTATATCATCTTCTGGTTCTCCTGGTCTGAAAAAGTATTATATCCAGTGAACAGAAAATATAAATTTAAAATAAAAAATCCCATATTTCTACATATCTTTTTGCCACTTCTAGATTCAATATCTATCAATCTTCACACTATTTTCTCCACATATTAAATGCAATATTTACATGTAAGTGCATATCTTTAATAAATTATTTCAATATTCACGCCCGTGAAAAAAACTGGAACTGAAAGACAACTGAGAACATGAGGGACTATGACACAACACCTTATTATATTCTTCACAGTTAAGGGTGAAGGGGAGAAATGGACCAAACATCTATTAACAGCACTTTTACTTTACTCTCAGATTGCAGATAGTAGAAGTCTTGGTAGATTTAAGCAGGAGTCAGTTTCACAAAAGAATAAATTTGAGATCCAAGTTGTTTAACTATAAAAACAAACTTGAGGTTTTAGTCAACTTAACCTAGAGATAATCAGTAACAGTCCACTTAAAAAAATGTTGTTTTCTAAAAAAAGTTGTTTTTAAACTTAAAGTACTTCATCTTGTGAGCAGCTACAGATTTACCCTGGCTTGAAAAAGACCAATTATTTGTTTTAGAGTTCAGACAAAGTATTTCAGTTCAGTTCTTTTGTGAAACTGGCAGGGCCTAGAGAAGGATCTATTAAAGGGCAATTTAGGCAACATGTTGAAACAAGTAACACAGTATCTGAATGATACCATTCACAGTTTAAAATAAAATTAATGAATAAAATTAACTGGCAAGCTTAACATTGCTCTTATATTTATTTGAAAAAATTAATATCCCAGTAAATGTAAACTGCTACATATAGTAAAGGGAAAAAATAACTCTTCTATTAATGTAGCACAAACAAACTCATTCAGTCACTGGAAAAGAAAATTAGGCTCAGTTAAAAATTTACAAAAAGACTTTTACAAAGATTGTTTTACCTGAAAATATTAATCTCTATATAACTTAACAAATAAAAAATTTTATTAAACATGAACCAAGAAAAATATCTGGTACAGTAAGCAGCACTTGGACAATTATTTACTGCAAAATAGGATGACTTACTAGTAGCTAAAGAAAAGGTAAACTTTTGACTTTACATGCATCTCTCTCTCTCTCTCTCTCTCTCTCTCTCTGTGTGTTTGTGTGCATGTACATGCACATGCCTTCCCGTAGTGTACATGTGCATGGGTATTTGCACTTGACAATTATTACTTCATGCGTGTGTGCAAATGCAGGTTGGGAAAATGAAGAGTAAATGCAAAAGGAGTTTCTAAAGGACTATGCTAAGGTTTACCAACATCTACTTCCCTCAAATTAATTATAATAACATGCTATACACTACCTGACAATTCGGACCCTCTTAATTTTTGGTAATTTACTTAAATGTTAATGAGAAAAAAAGAAAATAAGTTCACCTAATAATAAGTTTTCACAATAATGAGCAATTCTGGTCAACTACTTGTAAAAAAGGGTTTCTATACAAGTTAAAATACAATGTACTGGAACTTACTAGCTAAGTAAATTTAAAGTAATGTCATAGTACACTGAATACGGAGTACATAATAACTGGTAAAACCCCAATAATTGTTTGAGAAGCTCTGGCTTTCTCAAATACCATCAAATGTGAAATAGAACAACTTAGAGGCAACAAGGTTACCAATGGGTCATATAAATAAATAGATAAATAAATAAATGACTTGTTCATTAAGTCATTCTCACCTTGGATTTCCTGATCCCAGGTTGTGTACTTTCACCATGGAGGAGACCACTGAGGGGTCAACCTGGGTCACGGTGTTGCTGGCCGCCTGAGCTATCCGAGAATTGTCATCACTAGGCTGAAAACCATATTAATTTCAGCAGGATTCTTATAACCCATAGTAAAGTTTTGAAAGTAAAATTATTTCAGCTGATAAGATATGTATTATAAATTAAAGATGCTTTTATTGACTATTATCTAGCACAATACCTTATCCGTATTCCACTTCTCCCTGACTGTCATTGGGGCTGTCTTGGGCCTTTTTCCAGCAGACGTACTCCCTGCTGACCTGTGAGATATCTTCTGCTTCAACTTCTTCATGTAAGTGTGGCCTCCAAAACTTGTGGTGGCCCATCTGGAAAGGAAAGGGGACTCATGTATTCATTGTCATATTTTCTGCTCAAACATGTAAAAAAATCTAGGAGTCACTATCAAAGATGTTTGAACACCATTAAAATCTTAAGTAACAGAAACAAAAAATAAAATAAAAAATGCTCATACCCCTGAAATCTCCCTGTCGATCAAAATTTTACATGAAAAAAAAAAATTACTGAAATATTTTTCAAGAAAACGAAATTATTAAAAAATTGTTACACCTCAGAGGAAGAAGTACAATTTATATGATATCATAAAGACCATATGACATTCAATACACTATCACAACATTTATTCTGAACATAATATGATTATCTGATAATAAACTTACTTGTATCTTGTGGTGTCTGGAGTGATTCTCCCCCTCCAGTCTATTGCCTGCATGACAGGGTTCTGGACAGCGGGCGGCGGCTGTGGTCGACTGAAGTGGACAGTCCACTCAGAGTCCTCCTCTCTTGGAGATTCATCATTCCTCTCAGATCTAAAGGAAATAGGAGACAGAAAATGTTAAAATTATTACCCAAAAAAAAAAAACAATAAAAATTCCTTACAGACCAAGCAAACAAATAAGAACTTCCTTACGTCCCTCAAGTTCCCCAAAGTCTCTGATCATATATTGTGTACTACTTACTGTGGACTAGTAGGTGGGTTGGACCTCATGAAAGGTACGGCAGTGTTTGGACGACTAGCGACAACTACAGCGGTTGGTGGGCGGAAGCCATTTAAAGGTTCAGGGGTCAGCTGAAATTGATGGTATGAAGTAAGCATTAGAATGATTTACGAATAAATTCTATTTTGATCTCCAGTTTACTTCTCACCTTTGCAAATTATATTGGGGAAATATGACACATTGTTCACTTCCTTTCATGTATTTCTTAAAATCATTAGTCTATGGCCTATTAGAAACAAAAGAAATATTGATGTATAAATTATGATTCTGACAATAAATAATTCTGAAATATTAAACATTCTAATCAGGGCTCGACATTAGCGCCTGTCCGCCTGTCCGGGACAGGTAAAAATTCAGTTCGGACAGGTGAAGTTGCAGGGTTGGCTGTCCGACGGACAGGTCATGCTTTATGAGAAATTTGGAGCAAAATTGCAGACTTACAATTAGTAGACCCTGTACCCCAAATCCTAGGAGAAGCCCTGATGTGAATTATCAGACTTAAGGAGTTCACAAGTATGAAAAAACAAATTTTAATCTGAACATAGATTCACTTTCAGGTGCATTTTCGGGGCTCATATGATTGAATGTTTTGGTAATATATACATTAATTTAAATGTATGACCACACATATAAATTGACAAAGTTCAAACGTATGAATAGAAAAAAATTATTGGTTTTGTGGACAGGTTGGATTGAAAATCGGACAGGTCAAATTTATGAGCACCTGTCCGAAGGACAGGTGCTCATAAAAGTTAGTGTCTAGCCCTGCTAATGGCCACGAGAAAAAAGGAATATTTCAACATAAACATCAACAACATTGTAACTTATTAAATCTACCTGCTTCATCTTACCTTTTCTTTGTAATAATTCAAGTCATCAGTGACGGAGTCTATGAGGTTGACCACAGTGTCCAGTTTGACGTCCAGTCTTGGTTTGGGCTCAGGAGGAGTGTCAGGCATCACATGTTGGAGGCTGACCGCACCAAGGGCAGACTTTGACCTAAAGTTGAAACAGAATCACATTGTCAAGTCTTAGAATTTCAGAATATATGTCTTTCAACAAAATAATTTGATTCATAGAACATTCTGCAGTGATTCCGACTGGGCTTTTGGTATCCAGTATTTGTATGGTCGATATCAAGTATGTGAAATGGAAAAAGTGTTTGAGTCCACTCTTGATTCTCTTTTTAATACTATCAAGTGCCTAAGACTATAAATACTTCAAGATACCATAGATTGTTTGTAAGTACACATCTAGTGGCCAACTCGACCATGGCTGGAACCTCACTGAAAACTTACTCAAAGCCTACAATGCCTAGAATATATTAAAGTTCACATCTATGTATTCCCTTGACTTTAAAGCTGTACAATCAAAGCCATGAAAAAATTATAACAAAAACATCAATAATTATCACAATTGTGCTTCTTACCTATTCTTTGGCGTGGCTGCTCTACTCCTCATGGCACCAAAATTGGTCATAACAGAGGCTGACCTCTTGGCCCCTGGAGGAGTGGACTTTGGCCTCGTTGCAGCCACCACAGAAGAGGGGTATTTGGGTGTGTCTGGGTAGTACCCCTCGGCCAGCTGATAGAACTCTTCTGTAGTTTTGGACACCAGCATTTTCGGGTCAATGCCTGGTGCTGGACCTGTTGCATTAAACATGTGCATTTAAATAATTGAGAAGAATTTAAAAAATTAGATGATTTCAGTTGATGATGTTCTGACTCTTCTGGTGCTCACCTGTCACATTTTAATTTATGAAAATTATTATTAATTTATTAAAATAAATGTTACAATATTATCATCCTATCAAACAAAGTTTTACTATTAATTAAATAAACCTAATGCTTAATGAGCACAAATCTGAAATGTAGCAGTTTTTTTTTTTTGTGACAAAAAACAGCCAAGCAACAATTCAGGGAATAATCCAAAATTTTACAAGAAACTTAGATAATTGAATCAGATGCTGCATAAAAGCATCTGTATTACTTATTTGCACGAAAAAAACATAAAAGAGGGTGTTTTTGTTATCAATCACCACAGAAATGAAAAGAAATATGAACCTGTGCCATGCAGTCTGGAATATCCCACAACAATATCCTTCGTGTACTCCTCTGGGGTCTCACCGAGGTCATGCGCTGCGTAACGAACCCCCTGGGGCTGACCCCCACGACCAATAAACTGGAGGTTACCTGATAATAACACAGTCAAAAGAAATTAAAGATATTTTTTTATCTTACAATGTTGCAAAAGTCAAATATTTCTATGCACTACTTCAAATAAGTCAAACCAAATATACTCCCGACAGTTTTTTTTAACAGTACAAATATTGCAGACTGAGGCTTGAATCCTCCTTTACATATTACATAGACCCTTTTGCATTTTTTCCCCACACCTTAAATTTGTGTAAGTTTGCACCTGTCAAACTTGTAAAATTAAATCTACTATATAATTCTGACTGGGAATGAGTGTCAATATTTGAGCCAACAAAGTGTCTCATAATGAATACAATTCTAAACTGCAAACCTCTTCAGTAACAACATGATAAATATAATATAGTAATTAAGGAAAGAAAAATAAATCCTTATAGAAAATAGACTACCTAGCATCTCCTGTCCATAAGTCTGGTCCTGCTGGAATTCATTCCATGATCTCAGTCTGGCATTGCGCTCCTCTAATGGCGTCCTAGCCCTATCTGGCGATAACTGACCAGAAGACAGATTATCTGAAAATAATAGTCTGAAAGTCATTCATATGATTAACTTGACGGATGATACATGTAATTTTAGCTTTGTACTAAAGTGATTTTGTTCTGGGTATTCAGAAAAACTGCAGACTTCTGCTACAAATTGCACTCGTTAATCTTCATCAATGTCATTTATCACTATTCTTAATGTTAATCTAGTCATACACTTAACAATACAAAAAAAAAAGACTGATGACCCGATTTCAAGCAACACACACTTGCAGAACATCAATTTTTTTTCAACTTTTTTAGGAAACAAAAAAGAGGAATGTCACACAGAAGATGAAGAAATGAAACCCAACTTTTTGCAAACAAACTAAACCAAATCAAAAACAAATAAGATAGAAGTAAACAAAAGTGACAAAACGTAAAACAGTGATGAAGCAAAAATGAAAAGGTCATAAAAATAAAAACTGACTGCTATTATAATAAAAGTGTGACTTTTTTTTTAATATGAGTTAAAAGTAAAAAGGCAGTGGTGAACAGGCACATACCTGAGCATTTCAGATACGTGAGTTATGACAATATTACCAGATCACATAACATGTGATCCTCTGACATCAATAAATAATTATCAGATCAGCACACCTGACATTTGATAATTTGTCAGATATTTTAAAAACACTTGGATTGAAATGACAATAAGCAGAAAACTGTCAAATTAGCAATCTTGAGATGTCCAGAGTTGACATGTAAAAGTTGACACTCAGGTATGACGCATATCACTAAATGAATGTGATATGCCAAGAACAGATTTCATTAACATAAAATGTGAAACAGAAACTGATATATCACTCCTGGAAGCAAGAAGCAGTGACACTTAAATACCTTTCCCTTTCTTTTTCTTTTCCTTTACTGAAAGAAATATGTATCAAAGCTTGCAATGAATTAATGAAAACTTGGGTGTCGTCCATGAGTGCATTTGCAACCTATGACTATTGTGCTCATATCAAACAACAGTTTAAAATTTATTAGCTACAGATATTTATGATGTTATTAACTATAACAAAACATCAATTAAACCTCTCAAAATATCTAACACTATGTCTCTCTGTCTCAACCCCACTGGCTATTATCTAATTCATTTGTAAATTTTATAATTAGTGTCCTCATTACCTGGATTAGATTCTACTCTTATTTTCACGGGACTACTGACATCAGACATTTGGTCAATGTCAAAATGAGGCTGAGGTGTGGAGGGGTGATGTTCACTTAATTGCACAACATGGGGATTGACTAAGGCTGCCACCGGGTGCACCATTCTGGGAGGCACAGTGACATCTTCTCTGGGGGCAGGGGGAGGTTGAGGGATTGGCTGAAATGAGACAAGATGTAACTATGTAGTATTGATAATACTGTATAAATATTGTCAAGTGTAATTTGCCTGTTTAGTCTGCTCTTGTTAAAGGATATCTTTTTATTTATCACTTTTCTCATCATTTTCCATGGAAACAAAAACCTATTAGCTCTTATACAGTTAGAAAGACAAAAATGTCAATTCGACATTTATCTTTGGATTCATACCTGAAGAAGCTCCTGGATATTATCACATAATTAATATTTAATTAACAGTTACTGTTATCATTCACCAATGATTTCACCAGCAAAATTCTTGCTATTTTTAACTAGAGGATCAGAGNTGAATAGCTAAGAAAGAAAAAAATACATACATAGTCTCAGTGAAGTGAGGAATTACAAAAAAATAAATAAATACATAAAAAAATAAATAAATATAAAAACAATAAAAATAAAATTAATTAAATAATAATAATAATAATAAAACACATCAATATTCACTACATCAACTGCCCATTGCTAAAGGGGTTTCACAAAGCAATTGCCAAACTTTTTTGCTGTCTCTAATAGGTTAGGCTTTACAAAGTCCACTATGCCATGATCTGCAATTAAACTGGCCTAGCAAGTTTGAACCCTCCAAAATTCTATCAGTATAAAATTATAAAAGACTATTTTTAATCTTCTCATCTTACAGCACACATGGCATAAATTTAGAATTATGAGTCAATATCAAACACGTCTTACACTTTATCACCAATCTCCTCGGCCATTCTAAGAACTTCAAACAGCAACAAGAGCTTGCCACTGTTCTCTATTTTCTTTTCATCTTCCTCAGTCACAAACTCATGCCACCATTCAGACTTCATTAGAGCCTGAACTTCAGGCACAACCTCTTCGGGCTCTGAAAACAGAACCAGTGGGGGTTTAGAAGACGCAGTTTTGCTTCTTTTTATTTTTACTTTACTTTCCTCTCTTATTTTTTTCTTTACGACTGAATTCAAAATTACAGGTCATACATTCTTTTTTTCTTAGTCATTACCAGTTGTAATATCTACCCTACAATTTTGTTTTTTGTATTGTTATAAAAATGTTAACCATAGAATTCAATCTATCTTGATAAAAAAAAAGTCAAATTCTTAGCCTTTATCATTTTTGGATATAAATACCTAAAAAAACCCTACCTGAGCCATCCCCTCCTCTCTTCCTTGTCTTCCATTCTTTCACTACCTCATCATCACTTTGTGATTCACAGCTTTTTTTACCTTTGCCTTTTTTCCTGATAAAAAAATAATCATTTCAGAAGCCAAACCATTTAATAATAAGCCTACAGTTTAAGCAGAGCAGATATGCTTTTAACTAACACAGGAAAAGCTTTCCATAATTAAATGTTGGATTAAGATATTCAAACTGTCTCCATCTGACTCAGAATTAAAATCAAAAGCCTATGCCCCGTGTTCTCATTAATGTCATGGTCTGTTCCAAAGATAACTTTGATTAATATTCCTTGGAGCAATCAGGGTCTAAAAGTGGATTTGTGTCACGAGGCAGTTTTAACTTTTTTATAAACCCAGTACTTCTTAAAGTGGCCTGATCAACTGTTATGGGTTAGTGCCCAACAGGAAAGAGTGCCATCATTTTCTTACTTGTTCTTTCCTTTACTGGGGCCTGGTTCCTGGTCACTGTCAGAGAGATCTATTATACTGTCAGAGCTGCCATCATCTATGAAAGAACTCATATCACTTTCATCATCAATGAATGAGTCGTTATCTTCAAGAAATGCCTGTTAGATGAAAGAATTATAAAATATGAAAAATATCTAATATATGTTAATCACGTTGGAAACAAATAAAAACATGAACCAATTTTGCCTATATATTACCTGTCTAATAGGTACCTTTAGGAAACCTTATTTATTTATTTATTTTTGTTGCTGATCAGATATCTTTTTTTTTTAATATTTGAAACCTCTGGTCACATTCTTTCCCTTTTAACAACAAAAATTTCAATAAAAATCGACATTAAACTTTTTAAAACAACCATCTTTACATTTTTACTTTTTCTTCCTTATATCAAAAACTGTGTCAAATTTGCAAAATGATAATAAAACATAAAAGAAAGACAAGAACTTGCCTTATTTTCCCGTCTAATCTGATCATATCTCATTACTCTAGGGTGTGTCCATATTCTCATAAGAGCTTGATAATCAGAGAAAATCTTAGCTCCCCTTCCAACTACTGCCATTCCGTCATCGTCCACCCCTTGAACACACTGCAAGTACTTTCTATATAAAAGAACTTGAAGTTTGGACAGGCGCACCAACAGAACATACTCAAACTTAGGGGGAAGAAACTTGGTCAGGGCTGAGTAGTCTTTCCTCTGGAAATTATCAATTATAAAATGCATGTGTGAAATACAAAGTATTAATTTAGTTGAATCACTGAATTCAATTTTTCTGACATAAAACATGAATGGAAAATATTGTTAAAGTATCATATTTTTATAACCAGCACGCTTTCATATGTCAGGCATATTTATTTTTTACCATATATATTTCCAGTGCAACACTTCTGTCTTTCAGGACTATAGTATTCTATGCATATCTAACAATAGCTACTCAGCAGCATCAACAAGTAAAGGTAATCAAAAGGGGGAAAAAATCCATTTTCCCCATCTATTAAAAGATAATTAATGAAAAAACTTTAGTCCAAGAAATGCCTTCATGAGACAGTAAAGACAAAACAGCCAGGTAAAACACACCTGTACACAACCTGACAGCAAATCATGAAGAATATGAGCTCTTCTCTTCATGATCTTTACATCGTGTGGTGTGGAGTCTTTACACTGCCCATTGCTGATGGGGTTCACAAACCGATTGCCAAACTCTTTGGCTGTTCCTAATAAGTTAGGCTTTACAAAGTCCACCATGCAATGATCTGAAATAAAAGTTTAACTCTATGATTTTATCAGTCTCAGTATCAAATTGTATTTATAATAAAATAATAAAGATATACCGTTTCATGTACATATATAAAGTAAAGTAAAAGTTAAACTTAGGGATACAGCACTGATAACCCTTATTCTTGTGATGCTCATATAATAAATGAAATAGTCTGTTAAGAATCTTTTTTCCATCAAGTTTATCATGCTTTGATCTGCAACTAACTTAATATAAAATCATGATACTTCCTTTACATTTATCACACTATTAAGAATTGCCAGATATAATGCAGTGGTTGTTTTCAGTTTTCTTCAGTTGCCCCCCCCCCCACACACACACACACACACACACACACAAAAAAAAAAAATTTTACACATATTCATGCTCGCACTGACCCCCAGTCATTCACAATAATACATCTCTACCCAGTTTCAATACTCACACTCCTTCAGGTTATTCTGCAGTGGTGTTCCTGTCAGCACCACTCTCCTCTTAGACTTTATTTGAGACACAGCCTTGGATATTGCTGATGTGGAATTCTTCAGCACATGGCCCTCATCACATACCACTATGTCTGGACCTACAGTAATACATCAAGACAACTAGAACAGCATTCACTCCCTCAATTAAAAGCTTTAGGATGCTAATCTGTCCCCAATGTATTTACCTGGATTAAAAAAAAACTAATTTGGATTATATGCTCTTACCTGGATCAAGCAGGGTTTCAGCAAATATCCTCTTCTGTCTCTTGTTTCTGACTCTGACACTCTGACTAAGGTTGCGGAACATCTCATATCCCATAATCATGACCCCGCCCCCTTCATGCCAGTCTTGTAAACAGTCGGCTCTGCTGTGGTTATTCTTCACACTGGACAGCTCATAAACCTAGTGAAAATAGATTTGGTGAAGAAACACTAGCAACACACTTGGTGGGAAACTTGCACAAATATTATGTAATACCAGATTACAGCACCGAGCAATTATTTTTGCCATATAATACAAGCAAACTAAACATTACACTGACATAAAAATCCAGAATCTTTCCATATCTGTCACACAAAAAGGTGGTTAATCCCTTTCATTGCCTTAGAGGAACATTAGCATCCCAGAAAATAAATTTTAATTAAGTCTAATACATATATCAATGCTATAAAAAAGTATTTTGTGGACTCTAAATTAGATGATAAAAAACTTATTCTTGACTTAAATCTCTAAAAAATAAGTGTATGACACCTGTTGTTTAGTTTCTAGTACATAATGTAACTCTCTTTTTTTTTTTATTAATTTTATTATAGTAATGAGCAAAGTCTAGCATGTCTTCAGTGGGGTTTGTAACACTACTTACAGATTAAGTTAAAATAAATCAGCTATTGATTATACATTTGGTCTTTTCGTTGCACATATGCATTTTTAAAAATAACTCAAGAGTATTTTATAGTCCTTACATCCAGCCTGTCCTCCTCTTCCAGCCACTTGGTCCACTCATTCTGCCAGTTCAGCACAGTGTTCAGTGGACAGATAACCAGACACCTCCGGAATGGCAGGTACTTGGGATGGGTTAATACTGTGTGGGCAAATGTGATAACCTAGTACATGGAGAGAGTGGACATGTTTGGTATTAGGATTCCCCTTGATGTATAAAGTAAAGCAGTACGAGAACAAAACAAAGCTGCAGATATACATACAAAATTGTTCTCAACTAAGATAACAACAAAATAAATAATAAAAATGTTCATGAATTAAAAAAAAAAAAAAAAAAACATGCTAAAGACAGACCAATGACTAAAATGTATTGTTTCACGTAGAGGTATCTGGACCAAAATGAGAAAATACTACAGACATCTTCATTTAACCTTTTCAGAGACTGTGCCGAGAGTTGAATACCTATAAGCAAAACCTATTCCAAATATGAGTGTTTAGACTTACAGACAATGTCTTCCCTAATCCCATACAATGAGCCAGAATGCAGCCAGATCCTTCAGGATCCTTCTTATACTGTTCCAAACTCTCGATAAGACAATCCCACATAAACTGGACAGCTGCACACAGTTAAAGAAAAAACAAAGCTGTTCATGAAATGCTTGCACTTTGTAAATAACAAGTCTAGTTTGCGANACCTTGGTTTCTGTACTGGCAGGTGGTGTATTATTTGGCACTTCAGTGGCTGGTAAGGCAGCTGGAGCAATATTCTCATCTTGTATTTTTTCTTTGCTAGGTGCTGTTGCCTTCAGTGGCTTTCCCTGGGTTATCTGACAAGGTTATATTTTCAGTAAAATTATCAAGAGATATCTTCACTTTATTATATGCAATAAGACAATTCAATGTACAGGTATGACTACAATTGAATTTAACATATCAACTGAAAAGTGTACATAATATTTATTTAAAAACTTGCTAGACTACACCTCTTGTATGAGCACTTAAACAAGTTATATGTTAAGATAGGTTTATATGGTACTTCTGTCAAACAGGTACTTGAGAGCTATTGCACTCTTTCAATATTTACCTTTTCTCTATTCAGCTGTGGAGGGGACTGTAGCCTAGGTGATTCAAACTGGAAAGACATATTTTGAATGAGAAAATAATCTACTGCTTCAACCTAAATCCTGCCACTTTCATTCCACTGTTGCTATTATATATTGAAATGAAAAATGTTTTGTCTTTCTTTGTTTAATTTTCATCCTATGAATACCTATAATTTTGGAATTTTCATTCCTCCTTTTTTGCCTGGCTGTACATATATTTGTCATTTTAAGCGTATGTCAACATAAAGCACACCTATTCAAAGTCTTCTTACTTTCTAAAGGCAATAACTGCATCCAGTTCATACATCATTTGAACAGATAAAAATTGTATTAACTCAGCAGAAAATTATCACAAAATGCATATTTGAACAAATTAACATTTTAGCAATGCCATAAGTTTTTCAAAAAGGACCTTGTAATTATGTTGTCAACTTGGCATTTGCTTCACATTTAAAATATATTATGTACTATATTTCACCTACGTCAAATTCTCTCTTGGAGTCTTTTCTTTCAAGCCTAATAGCTAGCAAATTAGCCACCTTAAAGCAAATTTTTGAATAAAGTTAGCTTGGTAAAAAAAAGAGTATTCACATTTTGCAGTTTTATGCTTACTTGTTCCACTTCCATGAGCTGTACAGCCTTGTTTCTCCGACTTCTAGCACTGCCAGTACTTCCACTGTATGGTCTCATTGATCCTGTCCTTGGGTCTATACGCAAGATACCTTGGGTGGCCAACTGCTTTTTAGCTCGTCCAAAAATCTATAACAAATGTAATCAAAAGTGATATTCTATCTGCAATGTAGTGATTTGCACCAATGACAGGCTATAAACTGAAAAAAATTCTCCTTACACTATATTAATACACAGAGGTTCTTTTGAAAAGAAAGACAACTTTAAATATATGGTATAATTTTTTAAATGGAGGAAATTCCCAGGAATATTGTGCCTTAATAGAGATCACAGCTGAGATTACTCCTGTATGTCTGTCAAAGCAATCATATGTTTACCATGGCACGTTTTAATTATAGCAGATAATAAAAAACAAAAAGACTGATATTTGGCTTACTTGCAGCCTTTCGAGACAAGTTGTACTTGATTTAAAAAATTTTGTGTTTTCCACAATAGCACAGTAAAAAAAAAAAAACGTGATAGGCTTGTTTTGAGATTCCATGCCTGTTTGAAATGTAAGTGTTAGTACAAATGTTTCTACTTACAGGGGCAGAATGTAAAGTCTGTTTATTAGCCATGAACCAGCTGTGAACTTTTTGAAGGTCCTGTTTTTGCTGCTGGTGACTCTCAATCCTAGGATAATAAAAATCAAAACAGTTACATAAATAACAATCCAAGATGAAGAAAAAAATCAATCAACAAATAAATTACTAGTAATTATTTCAAAGCTATTCGCTTACCCAAACTGGCTACATAAAAAAGAAACACATGGTATGGAATTCTTTATCCAGACTGTACAATTCTGTACATACTAATTTTACCATCCAGCTATTGTGCTGTGTTTTTACCCATACTGGACAGCTCTTCTATATTACACATCATTACTATGGGCTCTTATGCATCTGACTGTAAAAGATCTGTTTAAATCAAAATTCAGTCACTGGCAAACATCTCTAGAATTCAGACAGTTTGTTCCATGCATTACTTCAGGTGTAATCATCATGATATCGATTGTAACACAAGTCACACAGGAAGGAAATTCCCTTTTAGAAAGTGTTTTAAGTAAATCATGTGTGAACTCGATAGTTGCATTAATGGATTTTGCACAATAAAGCATGGGACAAACACCATGCTGAGATGGAAATTCAAAGTAGGTCCTCAAACAAGAGCCCACAGTACAGAAGTACCCAGAGGAAATGTCTAGCTGCTGAACCAGTTCACCGACTTTGTATTTTGAGTGCAATAATTTTTGCAGTTGATCAATACCTTTTGACGCAGGAAAAGAAAGTTTTAAGCTCTCATAACTTGACATGTCTACTTCTGGGTTTGACTTAGGAATAACACAACATTAAACTTTATAATCCTTCATCAATTGTTATTGATGAATTTATCCAAAAGCAAGGCTATCAGAATCATTTTTAAATCTGCTTTTCCATAACAAAATAAACAATAAAATAACCATTAATCAACCAGTTTTATTCATCATTTATTAATAAGTAAATTCTAGCAACTGGTTTCTCTCTCTCATTTTTACTTCCATGCTACTTGCAGGCATTTTTACTATTAAGTACTTACATGCTAACTTCTCCCAGCATATGAACAAGAATATTGAAAAACTTTGTGTCTTGCTGATCATGTTCACTGAAATATATATATATATATAAAAAAAAACAATTAATCACTATCTTTACCACCAGTTCTCTTGTCCATTTGTTGAAAATTAAGTTCCCAAGCAATGAAGATAAATAAATGCTTACAAAAACCAAGTGTGCCACTGCTGTTTATGCTGATTACTCATTTATTTGCTGAAATATCTATCATCTCTAAGATTTGTTTCTTGGTAACCTTCTCTATCTACAATCAAGAAATAATCTTGCCACAGTTTATAGTGTCTTGCTTACATGAGATCCTTGGCTTTGCCAGTGAGGTGTGCCAGTCTGATGTCCCTGTGGTGATGTTCTATCATACTGAACATATCCTTGAACTCGCGCACCTGCATCAACTGGAAGGAAAATAAAATACAATATTTAAAATTTTAATATAAATTTTAGATTTGTTCAATAATCAAAACAAACACAATTTGTGTAGTGATAAAAATTCTTTCTTTTTTCAGTGACATTTCCTACCAAAAATATTGCCATTTCTATCTGAATGCTAAATAAGGGTTGGATCTAATATTGTCCTCAAAA